GGCTCCTGGTACGATATGCTCAGACTGCCGACATATGCTGACAACCGTACCTCCAGGAACTTGACCTGCAATCGCTTCGAAGACTAACGTTTCGTAGAAGCGGCACCTCTCCGTGTGTTGGTTGTCTGCCCGAGTACTTAGTCATCAGCTGCTCGAAGTATGCGAAACACTCGACCGGCGGCCACACGCACCCATGGATCAGAAGAGCCGGCTTCTCTTGGACCACATCGACGTCGTGCAACTCGAAACTGTTGAGAGGCAATATCGTGGCGCCAAGCTGTCGCAACGCTGGCCCATTATGCTGTTCCAGGAGATTTGTAGTCAAGTCCGACACGATCCAATCTACTAGTGCATATGGCCCCGCCCGACTGGTGACGCCAGCCACTCTCGCCTGAATGTCAGCTGAGGCTGCCGCGCCGTCGCCCTGCATGGAACCAGGAGCCAAAAAATGGCACTGCGCTGCTCGGGCCCCTGGTGCTGAGGCGGAGGACGAGGGGCCCCTCACCCCCGTCGTCCCGAGGACGCTCGGCGTCTGGGCCCTCGCCAAAAATGCCCCGCCAGATTTCGCTTCCCACAATGCCCGCCCTCTCGCCGGGGGGGGGGGGGGCGCGGAGCTGGGACAGGGAAGGCCCTCGCCGTCGCGAGGCAGCCACCAATGAATCCACTCCCGCTGCTCCACTGCGCGAGTGTCGCGGTCAGCTCTCGCCGCCCAACTACCACAGCTCCCGCCGCGCAAATTGATTCGGGATCTGCAGCGCTCGCCGCAGCTAGGGCTACCACGCAGCTTCCGCCACAGCAGAAACGGATGGTGATGATGATGTTGATGATGATGATGATGCTGATGATGATGGTGATGCTTTTGATGATGATGATGATGATGATGATGATGATGCTGATGATGATGGTGATGCTTTTGATGATGATGATGATGATGATGATGATGATGATGATGATGATGATGATGATGATGATGTTGATGATGGTGATGCTGATGATGATGATCTTAAAGATGAGGACGACGACGATGATGATGATGCCGATGATGGCATAAGGAGGAGGAGGAAAAGCAGGAGGAGCAGGGGGAGGAGCAGCAGGATGAGGAGGAGGAGGAGGAGCAGGAGGGGGGGAGGGGGGGGGGAGTGAGGCAGGGAATGAGGGGGGGGAGGAGGAGGAGGAGGAGGAGGACGGGGAGGAGGAGGAGGAGGAGGAGAGGAGGAGGAGGAAGGGAGGAGGGAGGGAGGGGGGGGGAGAGGAGGAGGCGGAGGACGGGGATGATGATGAGGAGGAGGAGGGGAGGGGAGGAGGAGGGATGATGATGATGATGATGATGAGGGAGGAGGAGGAGGAGGAGGAGGAGGAGGGAGGAAATGATGGAGGAGAGGGGGAAGGGAGTATAGAGGAGGGGGAGGGAGGGAGGGGGAGGAGGAGGAGGAGGACGGGGATGAGGAGGAGGAGGAGAGGGAGGAGGAGGAGGAGGGAGGAGGAGAGGAGGAGGAGGAGGTGGAGAGGAGGAGGAGGGAGGAGGAGGAGGGGGAGGGAGGGAGGGGGAGAGGAGTAGGAGGGGATGATGATGATGAGGAGGCGAGGAAATGAGGAGGAGGGGGAAGGGAGCATAGAGGAGGGGGAGGAGGGAGGGGGAGGAGGGGAGGACGGGGATGAGGAGGAGGGAGGAGGAGGAGGAGGAGGAGGAGGAGAGAGGAGGAGGAGGAGGAGGAGGAGGGGGAAGGAGGAGGAGGAGGAGGGGGGAAATGTGAGGAGGAGGAAATGAGGAGGAGGAGGTGGGAGGGAGTATAGGCAGGAGGCCGGATGAGGAGGAGAGGGAGGGGGGGGGGGGAACAATGGAGGGGAACAGGGAGGGGAATGGGGACGGATGTGAGAGTGTGGGCAGGAGGGGAAGAGGGAGGGAGGACGAGCACAGCCGAGAAGGGGCTCACGGGGGCCGCGGCCCTGTGCGCGCAGAACCATGGGCGTCGGGGCCAGTGAGGGAGGGAGGGGGGAGAGGGAGGGAGGGAGGATCGGAACGGAGGAGGGAGGAGGAGGAGGAGGAGGAGGAGGAGGAGGAGGAGGCGGAGGAGGAGGAGGAGGAGGAGGAGGAGGGAGGAGGAGGAGGAGGAGGCGGAGGCGGAGGAGGACTAGGAGGAAAAGGAAGGGGAGGCGGAGGAGACTAGGAGGAAGAGGGGGAGGGAGGACTAGGAGAACCATGGGCGTCGGGGCCAGTGAGGGAGGGAGGGAGGGAGGAGAGGGAGGGAGGGAGGGAGGATCGGAACGGAGGAGGGATGAGGAGGAAGAGGGAGGAGGAGGAGGAGGAGGAGGAGGAGGAGGAGGAGGAGGAGGCGGAGGCGGAGGAGGACTAGGAGGAAGAGGAAGGGGAGGACTAGGAGGAAGAGGAGAGAGAATTTCGAAGGATTACCCATTGGACAACGACGACAACGCCGGGCCGATAAACCGATCAACCGATCAACCGATAAACTGAAACATCCGATATACCGATAAACCGATAAACTGATAAAGCCAAGCTGTGCTGAGATTCGGGCACGCATGCGATGAGTCGGTTTAAACGATAAACCGATATAATCATATCGGTTTATCGGTCGATCTGCCGATAAACCGATCAACCGAAATAGTTTATCGGTTGATCGGTTTATCGGTTTATCGGTTTTATGTTCGTGTCCTGCGGCTGCAATCTATATATATATATATGTATACAAATATTCGGATTACAAAGAAGTCCTGCAGCTGCACGGCAGCGCAGGTACCCGCGCAAGAATAGATGGGCTGGGTTCAAAGTGCTCGCGGGCGGAGGATCTTGCAACCTCGGCCCCAGATGTTCAGGTAGACTATAGTGTCCAACTTCCTGTCGGGAACGCGAACTGTGACAAAATGACCTATGTTCTCCAGATGGGTAAATTCCGCCAGGCCCAGCACGGGCCCCAGACTCCAGAAAGTCGAGGATCACCAGAACCTTGACACCCTGGCCCCACATGGCAAAGAACCCTGCTTAGCGCGCCGCAGCGATGCCGCTGACAGAGCAGCCAAGGCCGCTGCGAACCTTGGGAACCTTGGATGCCAACCCAGTCTCTCGGGGGCGGCAAAGAGGGGGGTGTCCAAGAGGGGGGGTGCAAATCATGACCGGCGGCATGTGCGCGGCCCATCGGGGGGGCCAGGGACGTAATGAAATAAGAAGAGGCGCCATGAAATCTGAGGAAATCTCATGGCCCGCGCCATGATATCCACCCCCCCCTAGTCATCACCCCCCTCTTTTCCGCTCCCGAGTCTCGCCGAAGCAGAGCAGCACCAGAGTGACGCGGCTCTGCTTAAGAAGGGCCTCGGACACGCTGCAAAAGAGCCCTCGGAGGGTGGCCCGCGATGGCCCCGCGCAGGAACAGGGCGCTGGCCAGGCCCGTCGAGAGCCTCTCCCCTCCTTCGGGGGCTGCCTCGGCCTCGGCCTCCCGGGACCCCGTGGCCCCGCTTCCTGCCCATTCCTCGAGTGGGCCCTCGAGTGCCCCCGAGGGCCCTCGAGTGCCCTCGAGTGCCCCCGAGGGCCCTCGAGTGCCCCCGAGGGCCCTCGAGTGCCCTCGAGGGCCCCCGGGACCCCCGCCTCCCGTGGGCCCTCGAGTGCCCCCGAGGGCCCACGTCTGGGCGATTGTCAAGGGCCAGCGCCGATGCACGACTTGCCGCATCCGCGCCCGCTCGATCAAAGCAGTGGAGGAGCGGTATCAGGCAGTGGACTGTCCTGGTCGCTGCCCCCAAATGTCCAGCCTCGCCTCCAACCCTCGGGGGCATACCGTTTACTATCATGAGCACCTAGAGCAGCCCACGAACATCTCGTCTTTTAGTCCAGTGCGAGGTCTATGGAATAAGGAAGCTCGAGCAACCCTCGAGACTCGCCTGCACTGCCTTCGCATCTGGCCAACAGCCAGGCGATTGGAAAACCAATTCATACGTCAGATGGTTCGCTGGAGAATTGGGGCCACACTCTGTCACATGATATTGCAAAATGTCTTCGATGTCAGAGGAGCCGTTCTACATGATGCTCAATTTCATTCAAAGCCTCGGACATGAAATCAGTCTGTGCTACCTCTGGTCGGCAATGGGATCTGCCACATGCAACTGAAGCCGAGCCGACGTACCAATCAATCAAAGCACGCGGTCACGGCACCAAGACTTCCTGCCAAGAGAACCATGGAGAAGCCAACAATGTGGGGCTTGCAGTGGCAATTACAAAGACAGGCTGCGACGGCAGCGCGGGTTCGGAGTGGCCGCCTTGGAGTGGTCGCCATCCCCACGTAGCCCACCAACAGGGAAGCCCGCCCTGCCCAAGTGGCGAACGAACACGTTGATGTATTCGACACCCTCGGCGGTGTGGCCCCAGCGCACCTTGACATCGACATGCCTGATATGCAGCCACCCTGCCCCGACGCGCGCGTTTGGAACACTGGCGGAAAATCGCAAGCCCCCGGAGCTCAATTCGTCAACCTACGAGCCGTTCAAGTTCAGGGACTCGAGCTTCAAGTCAGAGCATGCATGACCAAACCGCTCCGCACGGGCTTCGACGGCCAGCAGCGACCGCTCTGCGACCGAACCTCTGGGGATGTGGATGAGCGCGGGAAGTCCCAGCCTGCGTGACGTCGAAACGTTGCCCGTATGTGTTCACGAGGCGGGGGTCGCCAGTTGCAGCTGCTATCGCGACATGATTCGTCGAAGGTGGGCTAACCACCACTGACGACGCGTCGAAAGTGATGCCCACGTCGGCGAAGGCGGTAGTGAGCGAGCCCACTAACGATGCCGGGTCTGGAGCCATGCTGTTCGCGGATGTCGCCAACTCGGCCGCCTTCTCCGGGTCAGTCGTCTCAGCAGAATAAGTTGTGTTGAAAGAGTCAAGGGCGGTCCCGCTCACCGACCGCCGCGCTGTTTGGCGAACCTGCGCATTCAGCATCGACGCGGCGGATATGTTCATCTCCTGCATCAGAACTGGCTTCACAACAGCTTTGGTCTCCGACTCACCCGCCGAGCAAGACAAGGACATGGAGCCTAGCACGGTGGCTTCGGTAACCATGCCCGGAGCGGGCACCGGCGTTGGGGAAAGCGTCGGAAACCACGTTGGGGATGGTGTCGGAGACGGCGTGGGAGAAGCTGTTGGATCTGGGCGTCGGGTTGGGCGTCGGGTTGGGCGTCGGGTTGGGCGTCGGGCTGGGTGTCGGGTTGGGCGTCGCCTGCGTGTTGTACTCCATTTCAATATCCAATCTGGAAGTGCAGTACGTGCTCGTGGAATAACTGGGACTGATGGGGTTGCTACCCCAATTCCAATTCGGGATGCCACTAGGGTAAGGTGCGCTCGAGGCGGTGCACGCATTGCACGCGCTGCAACTGCAACTCGTTGGCGTATTACCACAGTATCCTGAGGCGGCCGTGCCTGACAACGTCATTGACAGAGTCCCAGTGGCGCAGTTAGCTCAGTATGCCGTTACTGTCCACTTGGTGACAGTGCCCAAGTTGATGTCACCAAAATCCACATTGGCCCACGGCACATCGTAGCTGCCGCGTTGGCCGAGACAATCGTACCCTGATCTGCCGCAAATCGAGCAGTGGCCGAGGTACCATACACGGTGTATGGGTTTTGCGCCTGGCGTGACTGTGCTGTGCTATTGTCGAACTGTACTACAGCATGCAACTTGCCTGCACCGTCGTCCATTTCCTCGTAGACGACAGGGGGCAGTGGGGAAGGTTCAGTCTGCACGACATCAGGGGGCAGTGGGGAAGGTTCCTCGCTGACACGCTGCTGCATCAAGTGAACGCCGACGTGGCTGCGCCCAAGCGAGCCGAATACTTGAAAGACTGAGGCGATCTCACCCTGATCGCTTGCTGTGGCGCCTCCGTCTGGTGCCATAGATGACGCAACACTGACGAGCCCCATGCAGAAGTGCATCATGGAAGTCATCGATACTTTATCGAATGAAAATGATGAAGTGCGCGCGCGCCTGCGAAAGTGATGAATCTCTCCTGCGCCCAAATGACTTGAGCATATGTGTGGCCTTGAGCCAAACTGGCTACGGAGCAGCCCACGAGCATCTTGGTATGTCACGCGCGCGGATCTTTCAACGAAGGTGACTCGAGAGGTCTATCTGGCAATTGTCATTTGAGACCGCCCCACAACGGGGCTAAGCTACAGCTGCAGCGGGCGCAAACGGGCCGTCACCCCAAGAGTGCCGCGGCCAGTCCGATCGTGCCTTCTTCAGCGTCGGCAGCGATCTGCCGTCTCTGTGGCTCTGGCGCTGCCTCGGCCGCAGTGAACAAGATTGGTGGCTCAGTGCCACGAGGTTTCGGGTTAGGGTCGGGTCGGCCAACCCTTAGCCCCCTTCATCAGCCAAGGGATTGTCCTCCTCCTCCTCCTACTCCTCCTCCTCCATTCATTTCCCATATGAGTAACTGCTCCCTGTCGCACCCAGGCCCCAGGTGGACCGGCAGGCTGCCTTAAAGGCCCCTCCTCTTCCTTTTCCTTGCGCCCCCGTGGGTTTTCCGACTTTCTGATATATTCGTCGGCTTCTGTTCTGGAGGCCGTCTTCCAGCCTCCAGGCCTGACACGCGCCCGCCGCCCAGGCAACGCAAAGATGGCCGGGAGCGGCAATCGCAGGATTGTTTCCCCTCGGTCTGGGTCTTGGGCTGCGGCTCGCAGGCCAGAGGGAGTTCAAGTCGGACCGCACCTCGAACGCCGCTCTGCTACTTAGAGTCGCACCCCGAGTCCAGTCGGAAGGGCGGGCCTGGCGTGTCGCTCGAGATTTCTTTACCATGTGTGAGCCTGAAACTGAACAAACATTGGCGAGAGCTTCGCGGATGGAGGGCAAGCGGTTGTCAATATGTGGCTCTCGCTTGAACGCCGCGCACACGCGTCTTAAACATTTGCAAGGGTTTCACGGGTTGAGGGCCGCCGTCTTCAGAATGTTGCTCTCGCTTCAGCGTCGCGCACATTCGCTTGAACAGCTTGCAGAAATGGTAGCGGATTGAGGGCGGCTCCTTTTCAAAATATGGCTCTCGCCTTAGCGCCGCACACATTCGTTAAACACATGTGCAAGAGTTTCACGGATTCACATGACCAACGTACCAGAAACAGCGTTTTGGAACGACTCTGCATTATCAGGGCGCAACAACTACGTTGATTCGCGGTGTTGAAGCCACAGGAACGGTTGACTGGCACGACTCAGGATCGTCAACACGCAGCGGTTAGGTTGAATCGTGGCGTCAGACCTGTGTTTTTGGTACGCTTCAGGAGCTTCAATCGGTTGTCTCCCAACGGAGGACTGCCCTCAGAGGACATGAATCATCGTAAAACCCTCTAAGATTTGACTCCAGCATCGTTGATGAGTCTTGAACTTACACTGGTGCTCCTCGTCCTCCTCTTCCTCTTCCGCCTCCTTCTCTTCCTCCTCCTCCTCCTCCTCCTCCTCCTCTTCCGCCTCCTCGGACGGAAGCTTGCAGGGAAGAGTGGATAAGCCGGTCGGTCAATACCTCTTGCTAGGAGATTGTGTCCTGCTCCTCCCTGCCTGGCCCCTGCTGGACTCGGCTTGAAAATCTTCCAGGCCTTGACCTGACCAAAACAGGGAAAACCTTCCAGGAGGCAATTGCAGGCAGGTGAGGTCTTTATTGATGGCAATGGATGCAAACAGGATGCCAAGCACTATCGTTACGAAGATGGGACAGGTCTAAGATTTCACCAGGCGTAGTCCTCTTGGGCAGAAACCCAAGTAAGGTGGGCGAAACGCTCCCTCATCGTCCCCGTCAGGGGAGCATGTGTCAGCGCTAGCAGTAGCATCTCTTCTTGCAGGAGCCTCCATTGCATATGCAGTTAATTTTAGGGTCGCTGGAATGTCCCAAAAACCTAGGCAGAAGAACTTGCATCATGCGAACTTTTACACGTCAATATTGAATACTGCGAGCGATGTTCGACCGACTGGCAGAAAGCAAGTGGTGATGAACAAGCAGAAGCTGCAGCTCAATTAGGCGCTAGTTGACATAGCGGCTCCAGCAATTCGGAGGTTGGGACTTGCGACCCCCAGGCGAAAAGATCTTAGCATACTCTTGCAGTCTGCACGCCATGCCTCGAAACGATTTCCCAAACCTCCGATAGGGAGGCTGCAGCGAGAGAAAGGCTAGCTGCCACTCGAAGGAATGCAGACTTCGTTGAGCCAACGAGGAAGTCGCCCGACGGCAGTCGCTCACCAGGAGCGCCAGGGCGAACGCGACGACGGGGCAGTGACTCGTCGTGGGCCCGCCGTCAGCGCACGCCGCCTGCCGCCGCCCAGCCCGGACAGCAGCTGAAAAGCCTAGCACCGGCGCCCTGTCTATCGGGGAGACGTAAGACCCGGGTACGGGGGACTCGGAAATCCCCGACGAGGTCGTCAAAAAAATGACGAGGCCGAGCCTGCATTTTGACGAGGCCTCCCGCTGCAGACATCCCACAAAACTCCTCCTCGTCAAAATCCGAGTCGCGGTCGTCAAAAAACGATGGCGAACCCCGGGTCCCGGCAAACCCGGGTCTTACGCCCCCCCGAGTCTAGCCAGCAGCATCACAGGAGCAAGCAGCACCAACGCCACCAGCAGCTCGACACGAGCGAGCACGACGGGAGCCAGCAGCACCAGGCGATGCGCGCCGGACTGCGCGAGCGCCCATAACCCAAGCGCGGGCGAGGCCGGCGAGGGTGGCAGCGCGCCCTCGCCCCAGCGCCAAGCGCCACGGCCCAAATCGTTCGATTTTGAGCTGGGCACCGAGAGCGCCCCATGGCATTGACTACCTACCAGACCACCCCAACCCAACCCGAAGACCCGAATTTCGGGTTGGGGGGGGTAAGGGTTCCACATGTGTTTTTTCGATGTTTCCCGACCCCCCCCCACTGGAAATCGAGGGTAAATCTGAGCCTTCGGGTTGGGTTGGGGTGGTCTGGTAGGTAGTGAGGCATAGCCCACAGCCTGTCCCGATGGAGCCGACCGTCGCCCTGCGCGCCGCAGTCCGCACGGCCTGGCGGAAATGCGCACGACGATCCGCGACGCGTCGGTCAGCGACACGAGCGAAACAAGTTTCCAGTTTCAAGTTTCCAGGCTGTGTCTCCAGTGGAGGCCCGCTTGGGGCACAGCGGCAGCAAGAGTGAAACAGAAGCGGGTGAAACGACCAATAATACAAACATTATACCTGGAGGCTGCTCGTGGAAAACCATGCGGCCCGACAGGAAGCAGCATCGTCACAAGCAGCAGCAGCAGCAGCAGCAGCAGCAGCACAGGGGTCACCGGCAGCACAACTGTGAGTAGCAAAACAAAGGCAGCAGCAATAATGGCCCCTGCAGTACCGCTCCACCAAAGCCTGTCGGAACCAGCAACACCACGTGCAGCATCAACGCCGCCAGCAGCAGTAGCGCAAGCAACACCAGCGCCACTAGCAACGGAGCCACCAGCAGCACCACTGTGACGAGCATCGCGAGAACAGGCATCACGACACGCATAAGCACCAGCAACCAGCAACACCATCTTGACACGCACACTGGGAACCACTAGTACGACGCGCACCAGCCCTGGCGCAACCAGCAAAAATACCGCGACGAGCACTACAGCAGCATCGGCGCCGCCACCAGCAGTGCTGAGATCAGCAGTGGCAAAAGCGACGCCAGTAATAGCTCTACGGCCCGCACGGCACCAAGCAGCACAACCATGCACAGAAGCACGAGCGACCCGAGCAGCTCCAGTATGACGAGCGCGACGAGGAGCAGTAACCACAAGCGAAGCAGCATCAACGCCGCCAGCACCGCCACTGCAACGAGCACGACGGCGAGCAGCGGCGCCAAACGCAGCAGGACGAGCGCGACCAGCGGCACCACTGCGACGAGCACGGCGGGAGGCAGCTGCGCCACGCAAGGCAGCACCAGCACCACCAGCAGCTCCACCAGACCGAACATGACGGGAGGCAGCAGCGCCAGGCGATTCGCGCTTGATTGCGCGAACACCCCCACCCCCCACCGGCGAGGCCGGCGAGGGGGGAAGCGCCCCCTCGCCCCAGCGCAAAATGTCACGGCCAGACCTCGTTCGATATTGCGCTGGACACTGGGGGGGCGTCCCAGACAAAGATGCGCAGTCCGTCTGTGCGAAGTTTGGCTGGGAGGTGCGAGCCCCGACCAGGAAGCAACTAGTGATATGCCCCAGCCCGAACGGCGGTCGCTCCAAGGGGGAGGGGTTGCGCCAGCCGGGGCCTATAGTAGCAGCGCTACCCAGGACGGCCACGGAGAGGACGAGGACAGGGTAATGGCTCGTCGTGGGCCTTCCGTCCGCGCCCGACGCCTGCTGCCGACTGGCCCGACAAGCAGATCCAGCGCCCAGCACCAGCGCCCTGCCCGGCCGACATCGGCGCCTAATCGGGCCAACAGCGGCCCCTGCGCAGCGCCCTCCC